ACTTGTATTGAGAATTTAAAAAGAAAAAAAAAGGCGAGCAGCAGCTCTGGGTAGAGCGATGCAACCTTATGTCTCTTTCTATTTGGAAGTGTGGACGTGCCTGTCCCCCCCCCCCCCCCCCAACCAAAGCAGCAGAGAGAGAGAACACTGCACTAATTAAAAGCACTACATTTTACACACCATCTTTAGTTTAGCACATTTAACCCATTGATCGCCGCCCTATTAACCCTTTGATCGCCCCATCACCCAGCCAGTGCCATTAGTCCAGTGTTTGTATATAGAATTTTTCACCGAACACTGTATTACTGCAACTAAAGACATCAGATAATGTCAAGGTCTGTAAGCGCCCCTCCCAGCCAGGGTCGGCTAGCGTTAGATTGCCCGCACACTATCGCACTCACGCTATAGGTCACTGATCACCGCCATTACTAGTTTAGTGTTTGTACAGATCAGTATATTGATCATGAACAGAACTATACTAGTGCCTCCTTTGTATAGTGTCCCTAAAAATGCAGTGATAGCAGGATTGGCCCCATTCACCGCCAGCACTAGCATTTAGCCCCTCCACTGTTTTTCATGGGAGATTTGTATCAATTTATTGCGGGCCAAAACAATTTATGCTCACAATACATCTCCATCCACCAAAATTCAGCTCTTGCCAGAAAATTTGCATAGAAATCTATCACAGAAATATATCATCTATACACACGCCCGTGTGAAAGGACCCTAAAACTTAAGTCTCTAGAGATTTAAGATGGGATGAACATTGTCTTTTGGTTTCATAACAGTCCAGGTACCATTCCTCTGAGCGCTGACAAGCGCACAGCTGTGACCATCACCTTCAGACATTAGCAAAAAAACTCAAGCCTTGCCTAATGGGGGGAGGGTATGCTTAGGAGCAGACTTCATGTCTTGTTTTTTGCCAGTGTCCAATCATCTAAAGGTGGCAGCATAACCTATCGTAATAATTCTAAGGATGCTCTGTTCCCCATGATATATGACAAAGAAAAGAAGGCTATCTAAAATGTCTTCAGTTCTACTTTAGTGGTTAATGAATACAGAGCTGCAATAATGTATTTTTTACAGCTGTCTGGTGTTCAGCTTTAGGTATCTATATAATCATTTTTACAGAGAAGATAACAGGCGACATTATATCCCAATATCAGGATTATAGGTGAGGGAATAATTTGCAGTCTGGCTAAATCAGCAATGGGCAAACTACGGCCCGCGGGCCGTATATGGCCCGGCGGACCTTTTAATCCGGCCTGCGGAGCGTGCTGTCAGGATGTGTGTAGGCGGGGCAGCGTGACGAACGTGAGGGGAGCTAGGCTCCTCTCAGTCCGCCCTGAAGACCGGAACGGCACGGGAACACAGCGAGAGGAACGCGCGGAGCAAAGGTAAGTAAATTGACACAGGGGGGAAATGAATTACTATAGGGGGGAATGAATTACTATGGGGGATGAATTACTATAGGGGGGATGAATTACTATATGGGGAATTAATATGGGGGATGAATTACTATATGGGGGATGAATTAATATGGGGGATGAATTACTATATGGGGGATGAATTAATATGGGGGATGAATTACTATATGGGGGATGAATTACTATAGGGGGGATTAATTAATATGGGGGAATGAATTACTATAGGGGGGATGAATTACTATAGGGGGGATGAATTACTATATGGGGGATTAATTACTATGCTTACTATGGGGGAATATTCATTCATCTACTCTTGGTCCGGCCCCCGGGTCCAATATATGAACCCATTGCGGCCCTCAAGTCAAAAAGTTTGCCCACCCCTGGGCTAAATCTATTTTTGTTAATCACACAGTGCTTCAAAGATTAGTATCCACATTTTTGTGCTTTATAAGAAGCCTAAATTTTATAATTCTACACAGACCAGAAAACATGCATTTACCTGTTGAGAAAAAAAAAAAAAAGGTGAAACTTTGTGATACAGCAAAAAAGAAAGAATTGTCAATCTTTACCTACAAACATTATTTTCAACAGGTCTCTATGTAAAGTTCGAGAACAGACTCACTCTCTTTGGGGATATCTCAATAACTTTGCAGTGAGGCAAAACCTTTTGAATCCTATCTACGAAGAAAACCCACTGGTCATCTGGCCCTCAGTCGCACCACAAAGCTTACAGCTGTGGGAAGGTGAGGAGCAAAGCAAAAATAGTAACCATTTTATGAACATTTTCTTGAAATGTACTGAATTATACTCTCTAATATGTCTATAGGTTTCTTCCTTCGCTATTTAATGCCTGCAGAACACAAAGAAATGACCTGGCAAAGAATTCAGGAGATTGTGGGTGAAGAGCACAAATAAGTTATTTTCTCGGACCTAAGAAGTCACTTCTTCTTAAAAGTTCACACTATGCTGCTGCTGACTTTTCTGAAAAAAAACAAAAGATTGTGTTTACCATTTATTTATTTTTTTCTCCACACCAATATGGATATGATCGCAAATGTGAAATTGCAGTTCAAAGTTAACAAAAAAAAAATTGTCTTTTTTTAAATTTTGTGGAGAAATCAAACATGGATAAAAACTGCTCTTTTTTATAGAAAAACATCAAAATGCATCCAAAAACAAGAATGTAATATATTACAGCTTATTAGTCCTCATATGTAGTATCTGCATTCTTTTTTCAGGTTTTTTTTCTCATGTCAACCTGCCAAAAACACACATCCTTGAACTAGTGTGACAAGGCTCATTATACTGTATTGCTGGAAAAGCAGAGTTATTTTAGTTTGCTCTCTTGACTTTGACTACAAATATCTCTCTCTCCAATACTTAAAGGGGCTTTGCTTTGTAGTTCATAGAAGATGGCTAAACAACTGCTAACAGATTTTCGTTCAGTTCACAGGTAGTTACAAGGACATAAGATTTCTAATTGTATCAATCTGTATTTTTCATCTTGGGTGTTGATTTAGTTCAAAGGGAGCGTAAGCGGTTAGAAAGAGCACATGTAACTGTCATTTGTGAGTTAAAATGACTAGTCTGTACTGCTCCTTGGACCCAGTAAACTATAACACCATCTTGTCAATATTAAATGGCTTTCAGGCTCCATGCCAAATACACAGCAGTAAGATCAAATGTTTTTTTTTTTTTTTTGTGTGGTACCCACTACAAAATGTTTTGAGCACTAACAATCATGGCTCTTCAGTGTCAGTATAACCTGTGAATAACTTACGGGTTTTTGCATGTCTACTACATTTAATCAATGAAGCCATGTGTTATAAAGAGCATGTAGAAACCTTTAACTACCATTTAGTATTTTGCATTACTTAGAAATCGGTTCATTAAGAGGAACATAACAGAGTTTACATTTAAGTTTTATTTAATCCATATTATACTATTTGTCCTGTGTATTTTACATGTATAGGTTTCATCAGATATCACTTGGTTGCACAAGTCAAATGTTTTATTGCATTAAATTTGAAGATCAACAAATAATCATGGTGAGTTAGAATTCATGCTCAGACTGAAAGAATCCCATAACATCCTGAGAGCCATTTGCTTTCTGGTTCTCAATAACATTGTATAATATATTTAGGAGACAGTAAAATATAGATTTTATTGAAAGAACCCATTTAGGATGTCCTGTATGAACTGTCTTTGTAGAGGAAAAGATAACATAACTTCCTGGTAGCTGGGTATACAATCCATATTTGAGAAATCATGAAAAATGCTGATACAGCAAGGAATGATACGGAAAATTTACCGAATACCACCACGTAAGGGTCTATTTATCAATGTTTTCACACACAATTCATTTATGAACATTGATAAATATATTCCTTAGAGAATAACTGCACTTTCAGGGAAAATCCTTAATTTGCCCTTAGGGACAGTTCACACCATGACCGCACATGCATCGCATAGGAACGTGCTGTGCATGCCTGTGCAATTCAGACAAAATGCACTCCATTTGCAATATGCAGTGGGTAGCAATACAAATTTAATGACACCCCAAACACGGGTTGCAAGTGCAGTGCATTTGCCCACACTGGATCGCATGGTACTTTGTACCATGCAGTCCAGTCAGTTGCTGTGTGTTAAAAAGTAAAGCATCAGTGTGTGTTAAAAAGCAAGTTCCTGTGCAGGCATGGCGTGAATCGGCCCCTATTCCTGAAGTCTGCAAAGTTAATAGTGAGAGATATTGGTCTTTAACTTAGCCTGCTGGGGTGGAGGCCACTCTAATCTTTCAGCATACTGTTTTTATGCTGTCTTCAGGGAAAAAAAAAAAAAAAAAAAAAAAAAGGAGAGGTTCTGTACTGCAAGTGCAGTTAACCTTTAAAGGGTATTTCCACTTTTGCAGCCAAACTGGGATAACATCTATATTTGTTAGACGTTGTTAGATCAAATAGCAAAATATATTTTTAAAAATGCAGCTTTTCAGATGTTCTTTTCTGGAAACTCCAGCCCGAAAAAATCCTACTAGTTCTCTTTAGGAAAGGGCTGTGTAACTGCGTTTGTCATAACTAACCCTGTCTACAACTGATAATGAAGATCTGTCTATACAGAACAAACTAGATTTGAAAACAGTCTGGCCTAAAGCTCACCATACACTATGCAATCTGATTGTATAATCTCCTTTAGATCTACCATCAAACCATGTAATGCAAGGGCCTGTCTGACTGGATACAGTGTTTGGTTAGAGAGGTGTGTCCTATAATATAGTTTTGGTATTCCTAAAAGATTGTACGTTCAGATTGTATAGTGTATGGGGACCTTTAGGAAGACTTAAAAGGTTTGGAAACTAGGCTACGCATTTTATGTTAGAGAGGAAACCCAACCTGTGTGAGTATGCTGTTAGAATGGCAACAAACAGCTATAATTTGGTTTTCTCAAAATTGACTGAAAAGTGGATATATACTTTAAGGAAGACCAACTCGTAAATAATTTTTATTTGGACCTGTCCAAAACATGATACGCTCACTATTAAATAGTTTTTAATTGAATTGCTTCCACTTTTACATTCTCTCAAGATTCAAACTCAAAGTCAAAATACTGTTGATCAAAGTAATGTATTCTGACATATCCATCCTCTCCACCACTGCTGTAACTGTGAAAAAAGACAGAAATTGCCATATTAGTCAGCTGTTTTCTGGCTGGCAAGCCAATTACACACAAGTAAATATCTGCTGCAAGGGGAACCAACTCCAAACCTCACTCTGCAATGTGCATTATGGTTCTCACACTTTGCTTGGTCCCACTTCAACACAATATGAGCACATGCATAAAAAGATTTGTCATGAGCAGAAGGTATGTCACATAAACATCAATAAAACACCTTAACATATTTTGCATGTTGCATGCTTATTCATAAGGCTTGAGGTTTAGAAAGCTTAGGCTCTGTTCATAAACGGGCGTTTTGAAATCGCCTGATTTTTAAAATGCTCTGCTAAAATGACAAATTGCGGAACCGCTAGTTCAGGAGCCATTCATTTTATTGGCACCTGAAAACACGATGCGGTTCTGCTGTGATTGTTGCGCAATCTCGCTGCAATTGCGCCAAACCGCATCGCACAAAGCGTGTCACCCAAAAGATCGCACGACAACCACATCAGAACTGCATCGCGTTTTCAAGTGCCATTAAAATAAATGGCACCTGAACAAGTAGTTCTGTCATTTGTCATTTTAGCAGAACATATTGAAATTGCAGGCAGAACCGTGGCGTTTCTGAATGCGATTCAAAAACAGCCATATGTGACCGAAGCTTTACGAGTAGATATATAGCATTCGCAAGGCAAGGAAAGTTTCTTAATGCTTATGTGTTGTACCTTCTAAAATATACATATCAACTTATGAGGAAAAAAAACAAACAGAGGGCGCACAGGCCTAGTGCATTACCATAAAAAATGTTTAATAAAGTAGGTGTTGTACTCAAACAACAATAAAGTAAAAGACACGTCATAAAAGAACAGCTGGGTCAACACCGCACTGATTAACAGTCCACAATAGGGAGCGTAGACATCCAATAGGATGACGCGTTTCGAGGACTTGCCTAAGAGGCAAGTCCTCAAAACGGGTCAGCCTGTTGGATGTCTACACTCCCTATTGCGGACTGTTACTCAGCACGGTGTTAACCCAGCTGTTCTTTATGATGTGCCTTGACTTTATTGTCTTTTGTGAGTACAACACCTACTTGATTTCTTAAACATTTTTTATGGTAATGCACTAGGCCTGTGCACCCTCTGTTCTTTCCTCATTCAGTATATTTGGATTTCCCCAGTCTATTGAGGGCAGCAAGGTGTGCATGTTCCAGGACATTCTTAATGTGGTTGTAGCCTGCATCGAGTCCATCCCCAAGCGCAGGAGCATTTGTGTTTACATATCAACTTAGGTCTGATCAGTATGTGATACCAGGAGCATTTCTAAACACAAAAGCACATAATTAGGTTTCAATATACTCATACACTCACAATATAAACATCTACAGAGAATATCTGTAGATGTTTGAATATATCTTGAGTGTATGAATATGTTGTGATTTTATGTAATTGTAAGATGTAATGCAATGTTATGTGATTGTAAGAGGTTTTATTAACATATGGATCTATATTCAGTTTCAGAATTGATGATTTATAAACTTTGTTTTAACTATTGGTTTATGTTGTACCTAAAAAATCTCACCAGTTCAAATATAGTTTTACCCTCCCAAAATTGCCGACACCTGCAGATGGCCTCTTAACAGACATATGATCCCCATTAAACACCACCACAGATGACAACTGTATTACACAGCTCATGTCACCCTTTAGAATTTTTTTTTTCCGTATGCTTACCTTTTACCATCTGGGTGGAAAGCTAAACTGTTGATGGGTCCAAAATGGCCCTTTACTCTTCCAAATTCCTCCTCAACACCAACATGGAAAAACCTGTTGAAGAAAACTATTAGCTTACAGTACTTTCAGTGAAATGATCTGTTCAATCAAAAACTCTGCTTACCTAGCTTCAAATTTGCCGATCCTGGTTGAGGTTGTTGTCACATCCATGGCTTCCTGTCCTCCCCCCAGAACAACCTGCAAAAATAATTAGATGAATGGCTCAAAAATTGATTTTCAATTTCATTAAATTCAATACTTTATAAAAGAGAAACAAAACGAAGTAAAAACCAATCGATAGAAAAAAGGTATCACTTCATCTTCAACATCTGTAATAAATACCCCAGGATCCCTCCTGTGGCTGAAGAGCAGCATGGTTGGACAGCTCACCCTCTCCTGCTCTTGTCTAACCATGCTGCTAGCAAGGAGACAAATACATAAAGGCTGATTGACAGCACTCATCTCTGGCAGCAAGCAAAAAATGGAGAGGAGTGGTATCATTCAGCATAGCAGAGGGCTGGGACAGCTCCATTCACAACATAGCAAAAGATCAGCCAATGCTGCACAGCTGCCTGATCTGTCTGCTGGTAAATGTTTGCTAGAAGCCAGCAGATCTATCACACCCGTCAAGCCTGCAGAATTTTTAATTTGAGCTGATATTTATTTTAAGAACTTTACCAATACTAAAACATATAAAGTGGGGTGAACATTTCTTCACAGTGCTACTGAATTAAATCACTGGCAACACCATCATTAAGAGATGACAGCGAAGCACTTTTATGTGAGAAGTCAGCAAAATACTCCATGACTAGGGATTTAATTTTGGATCCATGTCTGCTTACTTAGCTGGGAATCCTCTACCAAGGACTTTTTACAATAACAACATTTCCTTAAAGGGTAAGTTCACCTTAAAATACAACCCCTGGCAAAAAGTATGGAATCACCACTCCTGGAAAATGTTCATTCAATTGTTTAAATCGTGTAGAGAAGAAAAAAAAAAAAAAAAAAAAAAAAAACCAGACATGCCTCTAAACTATTTTCATTTAACATTCCGACGTTCTGGCCTTAAGAAACACTTAAAAATAAAAAAGAAATAAAACTAGTCAGTTGCAACTGTTTTTGTAGATCAAGTAGAGGAAAAAAATATGGAATCGCTTAATTCTGAGGAAAATCTTATGGAATCATGAAAAAAAAAAAAAAAAAAAAAACAAAAACCCACTACAGCACACCACTAGCACTTTGTTGCACCACCTCCAAACAGTATTCATCAATCCAGCTCCAACGTTCTCTTATTGCAATTTCCACATCAGCTTTGCAGGTTGGAGCCTTGGCATGGACCAATTTCTTCCATTTCCACCATAGATTTTCAATTGGATTCAGGTCCAGACTATTTGCAGGCCATACCATTGACATCTTATGTCTTTCTTGAAGGAAAGTTCACGGCTTTTGCCCTATGGCAAGATGCATTATCAGCCTGAAAAAGGATATCATTATCACCAAACATCCTTTGAATTGATGGAATAAGAAAAGTGTCCAAAATCTCAAGATAAACGTGTACATTTATTGAAGATTTAATGACTGTCATCTCCCCCATACCTTTACCTGACATGCAACCCCATATCATCGATTGTGGAAATTGGCATGTTTTCTTCAGGCAGTCATCTTTATACATTTAATTGGAACGGCACCAAAGTTCCAGCATCAGCACCCTGCTCAATGCAGATTTATGATTCATCACTGAATATCACTTTCATCCAGTCATCCACAGTCCATGATTGCTTTTCTTGAGCCTACTGTACCCTTGTTTTTTTCTGTTTAGGTGTTAATGATGGTTTTTTTCGTTTGTTTTTTCTGTATGTAATTTCCTTTAGGCGATCTTAAAGTTTTGTCACAGGTATTGACTCCAGTTTCTGCCCATTTGTTTTGTTGTGCATTTTTCTGTTTTCAAGGCATATTGCTTGAAGTTTTTTATCTTGACGATTTGATGTTTTCCTTGGTCTACCAGTACGCTTCCCTTTCACAACCTTCCCATTTGGTTTGTACTTGGTATAGATTTTAGACACGGCTGGCTGGGAACAACCAACATCTTTTGCAACATTTCGTGATGATTTACCTGCTTGAAGTTTTATAATCCTCTCCTTTGTTTGAACGGACATCTCTCGTGTTGGAGCCATGATTCATGTCAATCAACTTGGTGCAACAGCTCATCGTGTGCAAGCACTCTTTACCTGCAGACTAATTGGCAGATGTAATCTGATGTAGGGGTTTGTTTTAGAACTGTAAAGTACCTGGTGATTCCATAATATTTTCCTAAGAATTGAGTAATTACATATTTTTCTCCTCTGCTTGGTCTGTAAAAACAGTTGCAATTGACTTAAGTTTTATTTTATATTTTTTTTTAAGCGTTTCCCAAAGCCAGAAGGTTGGAATGTGAAAATTAAAATAGTCTTGAGGCATGTCTGATTTTTTTCTACACAATTGAGCCCTGGTTCACACTGATGTGGTGCGAAATTTGCAGCGTTTTCAGTGCAAATTCTGCACCGCATCAGAATCGCACACTGTTCATGCGAACCGCTGCGGGTGTATGTTAACACCCCAAAAGCAGTCCGCAAATCGCAGTGCGATGTGCAGAACCAGATCGCATAGGTGTGAATACCTATAATTCGATTCTAGTGCGGAACCAAAAGAGGGTCCTGCACCTTTGTTAATGCGGGTGCAGTGCGAATAGAGCCATACAAAATGTATGGTTCCAACTGCACCGCACACAAATCACATGTGATTAGCACAGGAATGTGGTGCTGTTCCTGTGCTAATCACATGCGATATACCACACAGCACATGTGTGAACCCAGGCTCAATAAATATTTTCTTAAAAATGAAAGGAAGGCGCCTAAGTGTAGTATTGACAATTAATAAATAGATAAATTGCACTTACAAGATAATTAGTTAAAAAAAGACTCATCGTGTGGTGTAATAAAATCCAGGTGGAACATTCCAGCCGTCCAGCAGCAAACTGTCTATAGGATCAGGAAGTAGAGCCCAGGATGTGCCTGTGTATCAAAAATGAGGCTTGGAGAGCAGAGTCGGATATAGGAGGGGAAGGGGACGGTAATGCATTTCGGAGCATGCTCAGTAGGCCCTTTCTTTGGACCTCTGAGGACAGTTTGCTGCTGGATATTCCACCTGGATTTTATTACACCACACGAGTCTTTAACTATTTATCTTGTAAGTGCAATTTATCTATTGTTTATTAATAAATTGTCAATACTGCACTTAGAGGCACCTTCCTCTCTTTTTCATGTTACTGCATTAGAGCCATGCTTCCACTCTAAGAACAACTGCCTCGGTGCTACTACTCCCATCCATCCCTGATATCCATCTGGCACCTTTATCCTACAGCTACAGAGGTTGGGCTCTAAGTAGTGCGCCCTATATAATATACATTTTCAATTAACATTTTCCAAGATGGGCGATTTCATACCTGTTGCCAGGGGTTGTAATAAATGCACATTTTTTTTTCAGTTAAAAAAACAATATGCATTATTTTTTGTTGCAGGAGCCTGTACACCATTGCATCAGCAATCAGCAGATCACTGGTGCCATGCAAGTTTCCTGCAGATCTGTCAGTAGATCTGCTTGCCCGTACGGGATGTATGGGCAAGCAGATATACTGACAGGAAGAAACAATTAACTACCACAGCACTCCACAGCGCCGTGATAGTTCACTGACTACAAACCGACAGCCATTAAGGCTGTTGGGACTTGCAGCTTCTAATTCTCAGAGGACTGTGAATGCATGACACGGCCAGAGCCCTGCACAGCCGTGCTTTAAAAATGTTGAGAGAAGATCCCCCGCTAGCTGTCAAATCTGGGGAGTGGGGGCTGGTCTATTCATAACATGTTACACTGAGTATGGGTTATAACATGTCATGAAAGGTGAACATCCTTTAAATGGAACATAAAGTGATAGGTAATACACGATTTTAATGCAGTCCTCCAACTATTATTACAGATTAAAAGTGAAGAATGGGGAAAATCTTTTTTTTTTGGCCATACTTCTCTTGTGGGTCACAGGAGCGCACTTACTTGTGCTTCCCTGTGACCTAGAATTAGCTAAGGCCCGCTGTTAGCCAATGTCACAGAGCCACTACAGCAGCGGTTCTCAACCTGTGGGTTGAACGACCCTTTCACAGGGGTTGCCTAAGACCATCGTAAAACACATATTTCCGATGGTCTTAGGAACTGAGACACCACTCCTTTATCCATCTCCAGGCAGGTCCGCCCACATGCAGATACGCCCATATACGAGTACCCGGCGTGATGACATCACGCCAACCCCATCACATACACCTCGTACAAATACAGGTGTATGTCACAGGGTTGGCGCCATAATGTACTTATGTGGACCAGTCACACGTGTAAAGAGCAGCTACTCTGTAGAAAGCAGCTACTCTGTTAACCACCTCCCGTCGTGCTGTTTTATATAAACGGCCGGACGGTGGTAGTGCAGAGTCAGGTGGCCGTATATAAATGCACCCCCCCCCCCCTTGTGCGCACTCCCTGGGAGCTCCCTCCGGACACAGTGAAACACCAATTGTCGTACAGGACCTCTGAGAGGTCCCAATCATGTGATCGCTGATAGGCCAATCAGTGATCACATGCAGAGTAGTAAGCAAGATGTCACTTCTGACATCATTGCTTACTACATGTGAAATCTGTGAACGATCACAGAGGTCACATGGTACAAAGCTATTCACAACAGCCTTGTACCATGTGACAAGCTGTGACCAATCACAGCTCACACAGTATTTCTCAATGGCTGCAAGAATGCAGCCAGAGAGAAGGATAAATTATTGCTTTTACAGCCTTTATGGGTGTAAAAGCAATCCGTGTACAAAAAAAATAATTTCATCACCCCCCATAAGTAGTACAGTGTACTGCTAGGGTGACAGTATGTAAAAAACAAAACAAAAAAAAAGTAAAAAAATTTTTTTAAAAATATATTTTTGGTTAAACTAAATTTGGGTTATTTTTTTTTTACTAAAAAGATAACTGACTAAATTTTGGCCAAGATTTATGATGAAATATTATTTGCAAAATCTTATAAGAAAAACACTTTTTTGCTAAATTTTTGGACTTTCATTTACATAGCAAAAAAAAAATTAAAATCCCAGTGGTGAATAAATACCACCAAAATA